AAAAAAAAAAAAAAAAAAAAACAGTTTTGCATTTTATAAAAATGGCGTTGCTCAGGTTCTGGCTCTAGGCCAGCACAATATCACAAAATGTCACCTTCTTCAACCTTCCCCATCTGCTCTGTTTGTGGTAGCGCTAATGGTCAACTACTGGGACTTGCCTTGGCTGTTGTCACCTAACCCAAGTCACCATCTGAAATTGTTTGATTCACTGTTCTCGGGTCTCCCCCTTACATACGTGAGCCTCATGAGATTGAAGATCTTGTCTGCCTTCTTCACCACCGGATCCCTTGTGCCTAGTATAGGGTCTGGCATATAACAGATTCTAAGTATTCATGGAATGGATGGACAGATGGATAGATGGAGAGAAGAACATTCCTGGTAGAGGGAAGAAAAAGGAAACCTCCTGTCTTTTCCAGAACAGTTAATGTTAGGTTGAGCCATTTGAAACTGCTGATGGTTTACTATTTTTCATCTAGAAATACCAATTTCATAATGTAGTAGTCTGATATGGCTGAATGCAGGGCATGGACAGGGGGAGAAGCTTAAGGCAGAAGCAGAGATACTTCACAGACAGCTTTGCTTTCATACTGAGTTATTTCCTCTGTGACTGGTAGCCACAGGACAGTCTTTGAGCCGGGAAATAATATTTTCATATTTGTGATTTAGGAAGATCACTTTGCTTGTGGAGGATGGACTGTGGGGAGTGAAGCTTAGTTAGGAGAGCAGGGCAGTGGCGTGGGAGAGAAGTGATGAGGTAGGTAAGTGAGGCAGAGCAGGGAGGACCCTGTGTTAGAGAGCTGCTGGGGCGTGGAAGCTGAGGGCTGGGAGGGACTGGGTGCAGGAGGCAGAGCTCCTCAGTTCAGGCTCACTGTGCCAGTGTCCCCACCTGCTCCATGCAGAGTGCAGCAGGGCTAGAAAACACAGTCCCTGACCTGAGGCACTTAGGCAGAGCAGCCAGGACCACAAGAGAGAGAAACACTAGTCCTTGGGTTTGTATAACCCCTGAAAGTTTTGGAGTGCTTTATACTCTGATTTTTTTGGAGAAGGAAACAAACATAGAGAGTCTTGGGCAAGATCAGATAAGTGGTATGCTTAGAACTCCGACATGTGTCAATCCTCAAAACATTTCCTTAATGAAAGCGCATTGTAAACAAAAAATATTTTGCCATATTATTCAATATTTCTAAGAGTAGAAATTATACATTTCTTAATATTGTCTAAATTTCAACCAAAAAATGTAATTTAAATGTGAACTTGGAAAATTTTATCTATCCAAAAATCACTTTCATATAACTTTCTTGTGTTTTTGCAATTTAGCAATTGTAAACTATTTCTCAGTGAGAATCACTCAACAGTAAAAGTTTGTTCCAGTTATGAAGTGGACACAAAGTTACTTTCTTTGATACATTTACCGGTTAAAGAGTCTGGTGATTATTATTCGTTGGGTGACATTGTTGCAAATGGACACAGTCTTAATGGGAGGATTATTAACCTGCTTGCAGCTGTGAAGTCGGTAAGTTGAAATCCCAAGAAAGCCAACTGCAGTTTGACAGGAGAGTTGCTGTCACTTGATTTGTGTTTGGGATGGAGTGGTCATAATCGGCTGGGGTAGTTTTTCTTCTATATCTTGGTAGTATGTTGAATTAAGAAAGCAGTAACCCTTCTCATTAAGGGAAATTTTATCTGTGGGTGAGTAGTAAAATAAAATTGTATTTGAATGCCCACTCTGCTCATAAATGATCAGCTAACTATAGAAGAGCTTTTTATACTTCGCTTAAACAAAGATGTAAATGGAAAGTGTAAGCTTATTGACTTGAAATTCTCCATGATCTTCCTTGAAGGGGCATAGTTGAGTATAAGTTAAGGGATCAATTATCTGCCTTTGTGCTTAGAGCTGCCCAGAAACCGGAGAGGGAGTGTGAATACATGCTGCCCTGCTGTAGGGGATGTGTGGTCTAATAGGTGGAATGGGACCAGGCTGGTGAGGTACAGGGGAGGATGGCACTCCATGGGGCACGCAGGGGGCAGTGTTCCCTTCTGGTGCATCGGTGTCTATCTCAATTATTACAGCAAGTTCTGAGCTCTGTAGTTTGACGGACCAGAGCCACTGGACAGAGATTTAGATGTAGACCTCAACAATTAAGTTTCACAAAATAAAGTATATGAAAATTAGTCCAGGCACAGTGGCTCACATCTGTAATCCCAGCACTTTGGGAGACCGAGGCAGATGGATCACTTAAGCCCAGGAGTTCAAGACCAGCCTGGGCAACATGGCGAAACTCCATCTCTATCAAAAATACAAAACTTAGCCAGTTGTGGTGGCGTATACCTGTAGTCCCAGCTGCTTAGGAGGCTGAAGAGGGAGGATCACCTGAGCCGGGGAGGCTGAGGTTGCAGTGAGCCACAATCATGCCACTGTACTCTAGCCTGGGCAGCAGAGGGAGATCTGTCTAAAAATAAATAAAATAAAATAAAATAAAGGGGCAAGAAGGTTGGGGGCAGTAGCTAATGCCTGTAATCACAGCACTTTGGGAGGCCGAGGCGGGAGGATCACCTGAGGGCAGGAGTTTGAGACCAGCCTGGCCAACATGGTGAAACCCTGCCTCTACTAAAAATACAAAAAATTAGCTGGGCATGGTGGCAGGTGCCTGTAGTCCCAGCTACTCGGCGGGGCTGAGGCTGGAGAATCGCTTGAACCTGGGAAGCAGAGGTTGCAGTGAGCTGAGATGGCGCCACTGCATTCCAGCATGGGTGTCAGAGCAAGACTCCATCTCAATAAATAAATAGGCAAGAGTAATTTCTTAATATAGAGACGGTTGATAGTCAAGAGACCAAAAAAAGAAAAAAGGGTGGGTGGAGGGAAACACACACTTATGATAGTTAATGTTGTAAGTAAACATGAATTGGTTGTCATATTAAATGATGACTGACTGAGAGAATGAGACTCTCTCAGATGTTAGGCCCCTGGCTGTGGAGGCCATGCCTGCCACATGGGGACAATGCTATATGCTTAATGAAGGAGGAATAAGCACACTACATGATCATCTTGAAAAATAGGAGAAGTCACTTTCTAGGCAGCTTAGGTTCAGTCCTATTTAGTTGTTCACATGAGTGCTCAATTCTTTGCAGTTTCCTCAAGTTCTAGATAATGCTCATTACATTTATCATGTAGTAAGAGCCAGGTTTGGTGGCTCATGTCTGTAATCCCAGCACTTTGGGAGGCTGAGGCGGGTGGATCACCTGAGGAGACCAGCCTGGCCAACATGGTGAAACTCCATCTCTACTAAAAATACAAAATTAGCCAGGCATGGTGGCATATGCCTGTAATCCCAGCTACTCAGGAGGCTGAGGCAGGAGAATCGCTTGAATCCTGGAGGCAGAGATTGCAGTGAGCCGAGATCACACCATTGCACTCCATCCTGGGCAACAAAAACAAAACTCCGTCTCACACAAAAAAAAAATGTAGTAAGAATTGTCTTCAACCCTGAATGAATATAGTGATATAACCAGGAAGCTCTGGCAGCTTTCAGGTGTCACATCATTTCCTATGCCTTTTGTCCCCCTTTTGGCTTTCAGCCCTCTTACATTTCCTTTTCTTCACACTTTTATTGACCTGTGGTCTCTTCGTCTCACCTCCACTGCCTTTTCACTTGAAAACTCCTTTTAATGAAGTGTTCTTCACCTCCCAACCCCAGATGTTAGGCTGACCTCTGAGCCTCTGACTGTCCTTTCCAGGTCCCTTTCTCTTAGCAGCACAGATGCAGTGGTGGCAGTGTTGGGGGGTGGCCAGTGACTATCGATGCTGGGCCTGCTGCTGTGCATCTGTCAGAGGCACCTGCTGTTCCCACATGAGAAACCACTGGGTAGAGAGAAGGGTCCTAGGTTCAACTCCACCTTTTTTTTTTTTTTTTTTCCACTTGCTTTAATGAGCAAGAACATCTCCTCTTCTTTGATTCTCTCACCCCACAATGGACAGAATTGGACAGTGTCAGAGTTTCCTGTATATCCTGCATGTGACTCTCACCATGGTAGCTCTGGGAAGAAGGCAAGGATGTATCCTATATTAGTTTGTTTCCTGTGGATACTTCTTATACCACAGATATGTTGTGTTTTATGTTCCCTAAGAAGATGGAGATGCTGCCAGGCACACCAGCTCACGCCTGTAATCCCAGCACTTTGGGAGGCCAAGGTAGGCAGATCACCTGAGGTCAGGAGTTCGAGACCAGCCTGGCCAACATGGTGAAACCCCATCTCTACTAAAACTACCAAAAATTAGCCAGGTGTAGTGGTGGGCGTCTGTGATCCCAGCTACTCAGGAGGCTGAGACAGGAGAATTGCTTGAACCCGGGAGGTAGAGGTTGCAGTAAGGCAGAGTTGCATCGTTGCACTTCAGCCTGGGCAACAAGAGCAAAACTCTGTTACACACACACACACACAAAAGATGGGGATGCTGAGCCCCAGAGGGGATGAGTCCACTCAGTCATATGAACTCCATGCTGGGCTCCACGCTGAGTCGTGGGAATCCGCAGGTGCTGGAAACCCTCCCTGCCCTGGAGGACTCCATATAAATACCCCAGGGGGGCCTGTCATGGAGCCTTGTTGTGACACGTTGAAAAAACTTTCAGTATCTACTTTAAACACCTGTCTTTCTGTCTCTCTTCAAAGTGTTGTGTGACTCACAACTTCAGCTATGGACATGTGGTTTAGAGATAGAAGAGGCTTTAAAATCATCACTAGTACTGGTTCTTGGTATTTTTGTATTTCTAATTTGGTGTTTAAAAGGTGAACATTGCCGGGCACGGTGGCTCATGCCTGTAATCCCAGCACTTTGGGAGGCCGAGGCGGGTGGATCACGAGGTCAAGAGATCGAGACCATCCTGGTCAACACGGTGAAACCCTGTCTCTACTAAAAATACAAAAAATTAGCTGGGCATGGTGGCGCTAGCCTGTAATCCCAGCTACTCAGGAGGCTGAGGCAGGAGAATTGCTTGAACCCAGGAGGCGGAGGTTGCGGTGAGCCGAGATCGAGCCATTGCACTCCAGCCTGGGTAACAAGAGCGAAACTCTGTCTCAAAAAAAAAAAAAAAAAAAAAAAA